CGGTCTTGAGTCTGTCCTGTCTGTTGGTAGCGGATTATCAACTTGCTGATGGTGGTCTGGGAGCAGTTGAAGGTTCTGGCTATCTGACGTTGAGTAGCCCCCATATTGGCCATACCGATCGCTCTGTCTCGTTGCGCTTGTGTAAGTCTGGGCATATTCTTGGTGGTTTTTTGCTTACTGAATGCCTGCTCTGTCCAACGTCGATATTTATGCCACAATCACGCACGTGCATTTAGACCAATGTCTCAAAATCACGTTTTGCACGTTTTCAACAATGCATGATTTGGAAAGCTGCGTTGTGGTTGTGGTCATGTTGCATTTGGGCGAATGTTTTCTGCCGGGGTTCAAGCCTGTACCAGCTTTTTTGTTTTTTATACAACTATTTTTAAAGTGAAAACTTTCTTTTGTCCGGTAGTTTATATGATGGCGATGTGTAAATAATCGAGTACTGACAAGTCAATCTAGTAATCTAGACATCATGAGCATCGAGCATCGATCTACGCAATTTGGATACGATGAAATGCATCAACGAAGTCATTGTGCCTGACCACCCGATCCTGTTAGTCGCCTCTTACGACAAGCAGAGTCGCCTTTCATAATACAAGCATGGGTCGCTGAAGACCTATTCTACCCCGGATAGTCAAGGGTCGAAGGCCTTTGTGAAGATGATGAATGCTACATGGATTTTCTGCAGCTGTCGATCGAGAAGATCATGTTGGTTGTGGATCATTTTTCGCTAAATCCACACTCAGCAATTGTCTGTGGTCTGTTTAGGAGCAGACGACACATGAAGAGCTTTCTAGCGATGCTCAGCAAAGAGATCCAGATGTAGTTGTTACAAAGACTTCTATCACCTTTGATCTTGTACAAGGTGACGATGTTGCAGTCTCTCGTGTCCTGGGGTAACACCGGAAGTTCATACAGGTGGCTCAGCAAGATCCCCTTCCCGCAGTTAACAGTTGCCCCATCAATTCAGAGCACTTACCCGAAACATCCTCTCGAAGATTTCTCGTCCTCCATTGCTGGCAGGCACTAAATGGCTTCCAGGGTAGAGTCAGAGATTTTACTTTCCCAGGAGTAGAGTTAAGAACCCAACCCATATCTCCATCTGCTTACCCCTGTCACTGATCGGTTTGCCCGTCGAATATTGCAGGGGCACCGTCTTGTTTGGAGTTGGAGGGATATGCAGCAACTAGTGGTTCCCGGATGTTGTTGCTGTTTTCTGCTTCCGTCCGTTCTGGTAGCGTTTGAATTCTCCAAGTACTGCGCCTCTTTTCTTTGTGACATGGATCAGCACGCAGGAGGGGTCTTTGAGACAGCCAATCATGATTTTTTACCTTGCTTCCTCCCAAAGGCTGAGATTGAAGTGGCATGGAGAGTGTCTCTAGATGCCCCCATCTTTGCTTGGTATCTCCCTGTAGAGGTTCTGTTACCAGATAATCAAACACCGATACGAGTCTTTGCCTCCAGCTTAGTGTGGTGCATCCTCTTTGGCTGGAATCTAATGCTGCAGCAGACCAAGGAATGGTTTGTGTCACTGTCGGCACTCAGGTACAATGAGGTGAGGTGAAACCGGTTTAATGTCGCGTCCACTTTGCACTTATATAGCGACGTGAATGCACGTGTGTGTGTGGGGGGGGGGTGCTTGTATTATTCCGGACTGATGCCGATTTATAGTGCTAGCCCACTGAGATACCATGCCGCAGTTTAACATGAATACCCCACTCAGACACAGTATACTGACTTCGAGCCGAGCTGTCCTTGTTTTAGACCCTAAATGCCAGAGCGCCAGACAGGGACACAACAAGTAACGTCTTTTAACCTTTATTGGTATGACGTGGCCGTGGATCGAACCCCGGACCTTCCACTCCCCGGTCGGACGCTCTACAACAAGACCACAGAGGAGGTCCTCCGGTACAACGAGTGAGTGAGTTTGGTTTTACGCCGCTTTTAGCAATATTCCAGCAATATCACGGCGGGGGACACCAGAGATGGGCTTCACACATAGTGGCCATGTCGGGAATCGAACCCGGGTCTTCGGCGTGAAGAGCGAACGCTTTAACCACTGGTCATTCAGCCGTCTTTGAATCTTGTCCTACAGGTACTCAATGGGATTTGAATTGGGACTGGGGGCAGGCCACTGCATGGTTCTTGATGTCATTCTTCTGCAGGAAGTCTCTTGTTGCTCTCGCACTGTGGGCACGGGCGTTATCATGGTGAAACTCGTGGTTGCGGCGACGTGCCAAATGAGGTATGGCGTGTGGTCTCAAGACTTGATAAATGTACCGAGCTGCTGTGACACCATTGCCTCTCCCTGGACCGATGTTCTGGAAGACCACAGGGCCGACCCTCTGTGCAAGACCAATTCCACCCCACACCATGATGCTCGGACCACCCACAAGTCTCTCTCAACAACACAAGCATCCGAATAACGTTCCCCACGGCGTCGACATACTCTCTCTGCTATCTGCTGTCGAGATATCGTAACGGCTCTCGTCTGAGAAGAGGACTCTTCTCCACTGCTGGTGGCGCAAATGCTGGTGCTGTGTTGCCCACTGAAGACGGTCCCGGTGATGACGTGGTGTCAGAATGGGTCCTCAGTGTGGCTGTGACAGTGGAGGCGTCTGCTCGTCAATCGTGTGCCCACACTAATGTGTCGCTGGTCGTTGGAGTGTCGCCATGGTCTGTCGAACAGTTTCAGCAGCAGTAACAAAGCGATCTTGAAGATGCTGTCGCACAATCTAACGATCCTGACGTCGGGTGGTGACCCTTGGTCTTCCACTATATGGTCGGTCATCTGTAGTGTTGGTGGTCTGGTACCGTTGCTGAAGCCTGTATATGGTCCTTACATGGACTTGAAATGCATTGGCTACTTGCCGGGCGGTTTGTCCAGCTTGCAATCGTCCAAGAGCTTTGTGTCGCTGATTCTTGGCATGTGGAAGCAATTCAATAACGAATGAATGTTATCCGAACTGGGGGGATTTTTATAGGGCCAGAAATGGGGGAACACTTGTGCATTTCAATTTGCACGGAACTCACGTGCATCGGGTTACCATGACCGTTGCCGTGGTGCGTTTGGACGATCGGTTTTATTGTCATCGGCTTTGTTTTTTATCATCAAATTTCATTTTTTCGGACAAGGTAATTTTACATTTTAGAAACTTTGACAAAAATTACCCAGATATTTAAATGACAACTTTTCATGCAATGTTACTTGGGGTGACGTTTCTTTTGTGGTTCAGTATATATAATACGATCGCTGTGCAGAGTTGCGTCCCTTGGGCACGCCAGAAACCTATGATTGTGGGTTCGAATCCAGGTTTGCCCCAATTATGTTTCTAGGTTTGTCAGCACCATACCCCTGCTCGTGGGTTTCACTGAAGTGGTAAACGTCTGAGACCTGCATCACTTCGGGCTTTCCTCCCACATTAAGCTGACACGCTGTGAAATAACTGGAATACTGTTAAAAGCAGCGTTAAACCCAACTCACTCACTCATTAAAATCAGATCTTAATTCTCGCTATTGCTAAAAAAAGATCTGAGGACATCCCATTACGGGTCACGTCAGAATGACAGTTGGAACGTGTTTTCTAATCATGCAACCTCGAAAATGTTAATACTGGGTATTCCGAAGGTCAGTTATGGCCCGTATGACTGATTCCGTCAAAATTATCATCTATTGCTCACTTCAGTGGGGTAAACATTTGAATGGAGGAGGCGTTGCACAGTACATGGGAAGCACTGCCATACAGTCTGAAACATATATTAGTCATTCGTGAATGTTCGTTCGTTCAGTTTTCAAAATTTTAATCGAGAACTGTGTCAACATATCTTTCAAGCGTAGTCTGAAATGGAAGTCGCCAGGTTTGAAACGAGTGCCGTAAAGCTCAAGAAAGCTGCTTTCTAATTGGGTGATGTCAACTTCTTGTTCGTCATTTCAGTGGTCGGTCAAAGTGGGATATGGGATATCCTCAGATCATTGTTTATTGACGAGAACTTAGATCCGATTTTAATAAGATTGTGACCGAGATGACCAAGTTGGACTTTTTCAACCCTGCCCCACACTGTAACAGGTGATGAAACATGTGTTGTCTCCTTATGCAAGTAGACCTCCTTCGTGGTCTAGTGGTAGAGCGTCTGCCCGGGGAGTGGAAGGATCTTGGGTTCGATCCCCGGCCGCGTCATACCAAAAGACGTTAAAAGATGGTACTTCTTGTCACCCTGACAATCCCCTCGGCGCTCCGCATTAGGGGCTAAAACAAGGACTGGTCGGCTCGGAGTCAGTATACTTTGTCTGAGTAGGGTATTCATGTTAAACTGCGGCATGGTATCTCAGTGGGCTAGCGCTATAAATCGGCATCAGTCCAGACTAGTACAAGCACACACACGTACATGCACGTCGCTATATAAGTGCAATAATCTTGGACACGACGTTAAACCCAATTTCACCTCACCTCACCTCACCTTATGCTAGTGATGACTAAGCATTACAACAATGCCACAGGATAATTTGTATATTACGTGCCCAGACTGTTCTCTTCTTTGTCAACAAACAGGATATTCTGGAATCAGAGCAGACTGGTGTAATGGAAGCTTTTCAGTTCGCTTTACATCTTGTTTTGCCTACTTCTACAGGTATACCACCACCACCTTCAACAACAATGTGGCTGTATGGCTGTCTCGTCACAGGGCTTTGATGACAGCATGTGGAGCTGTACAACAACGAATGAAGACGCAAATGTAAATAGTTTTTCTCATTTTAGGATATTTTCTTAAAGAACATGAACCAGTTTGACCTGTGGTTATCTAATTGTGTAGATTGTTCAAAACTGAAATAGCTGAAAAACGTATCATTTCTTGAACGGACTGTGCAAGATGTGACTGTAGGTACAAGGTTGGTTGGATGAGATGCAGAACCTTCCAGTGCCCAGCTGGGGAGCTACGAATTTGAATGTACACTGATGTAAATGGGTAAGAACTGAAAGTGAAATGAGCATTCATTTTGTGGAAAAGTGCTTTTCAAAATTGCACATTTTTATTTACATTCTTATTTACATTCTTATTATTATCATAAGATCCCTTTTGGATAGAGTCAATATGAAGAAATCTTCCAACGAAGACAGGGATAAATGGCATAGTTATGATCCACTTCGAGATGTGCAGTATGGCTGGCACCTTTGGTGTGATGATCCATGCAAAGATTGATCTTCATGAGCCCTTCAGAGATGTTGATTACTTTTGAGTACTCTTTTCAACAAGTACTGTATTCGATGCTAATAAGCGCCCAGGGCACTCTCAAAATTAGAAAAAGGGGGCTCTCATTAGAATAAACATTTGGTGAAAAATTTTGAGTTCAAAAATCGTAAATTTCGTGGTTTATGCTGACAGCCTGAAATGATAGAAAAGAAGTCTGTGCATATTATACACGACAGATATATTTTTCGAGAATTTAATTGCCCATAATTAAGGGTGCATATAACACACAAGTGCGTATTATACACAAATAAATTGATCAATCGGAAGTGGTGCTAATTGGTATTGTTCACAAGCCAATATATTAGCAAATATCACTGTGGGCGCTTATAAGAGCTGGGTGCTTACTACGTCGAATACAGTTTGTTTTATTTTTCTCATGATATCTCCTGTATGAGAGGGTCTCTTGGCTGAGGACGATGGCCACCCCACTTGGTCTCGAACTGTTTCTTCGTCTCGTTTACAGATGTTATGGCGGCTCTCTGAAGTTCTGTAACCATAGAAACGATTGGAGATCATGATATGTATCCATTTTCAAATCATATCATAACACAAATAATTTACCATATTACCTCTACTACACGCCTGGCATCCAGAGCAGGCCCGCCTCTCATTGATGCCAGGCATACACTCCGTCCAGAAGATAGAACCGTGGTCAATAAAAGAGATGGGGTCCATCATTTGATGAAATTAATGATCATACGATATTAACTAACGGCATGTAATGATTATTCAATAATGACAATTTCCTGCCAATTTACCCTTTAAATTTGGGATTGAGTAAGCTGCCACTGTAGCACCATTAAGCAGAATAGGGGCGGGCCTTTAAATGAGGAAATACAGTACCTGAAAATATTGAATGAATCTTTTACTTGGGAGATAAACCTACTGTGTTTTGAAATTTGATGCAGTCCCACTGGTAGAGTAGATATCTCTCATTTTAATTTATTTTCATATTTAAAAATAAGAGGTATCTACTCTACAAGTGGGACTACATCAAAATACCTGGTATCACACCAGCCTTACTCCCATCTAATCATACTGTACCTGGTATCCCACCAGCCTTACTCCCATCTAATCATATTGTACTTGGTATCCCACCAGCCTTACTCCCATCTAATCATATTGTGCCTGGTATCCCACCAGCCTTACTCCCATCTAATCATACTGTACCTGGTATCACACCGGCCTTACTCCTATCTAATCATACTGTACCTGGTATCCCACCAGCCTTACTCCCATCTAATCATATTGTACCTGGTATCACACCGGCCTTACTCCCATCTAATCATACTGTACCTCGTATCACACCGGCCTTACTCCCATCTAATCAGATTGTACCTGGTATCCCACCAGCCTTACTCCCATCTAATCATACTGTACCTGGTATCACACTGGCCTTACTCCCATCTAATCATATTGTACCTGGTATCCCACCAGCCTTACTCCCATCTAATCATACTGTACCTGGTATCACACTGGCCTTACTCCCATCTAATCATATTGTACCTGGTATCCCACCTGCCTTACTCCCATCTAATCATATTGTACCTGGTATCCCACCTGCCTTACTCCCATCTAATCATATTGTACCTGGTATCACACCTGCCTTACTCCCATCTAATCATATTGTACCTGGTATCACACCCTGACCTACCTAACTCAAGTCTCAGCTCTGGGATCAGGTCTCGAGCAGCCATGCCATACCGATGAGCCCAGCTCAGGACAAACTCCACCTTCTTCTCAGCCAGGAACAGCGCCTTCTTCACCGGTCGCAGTGGAGCATCCTTGCTTCTGGAGACCTTCAACTCTGTATATGTACCCATCATGGAACTGATTCACTTCATGTGGTAGTCAAAGACCAAATATTTCAATGGAAAATGTGTTCTCTCAAACGTTGTGTTTGTTTGTTGTTTAACGCCACACTCAGCAATATTCCAGCTAAATGACGGCGGTCTGGAAATTACTGAGTCTTGGCCACACAATCCAGTGACTGACATCATAAGCATCGATCCACGCAATTGGGATCCAATGACATGCATCAACCAAGTCAGGTTGAGGCGTTAGTCGCCTCTTACATCAAGCATAGGGTCCTGACAATCTCATTAAAACCAGTTCTAAGTTCTTGCTACCCCTAAACAAAGATCTGAGGACATACCAGTACGGGTCATGTCAGACCGACCTTGCGCGAACTTTGACTGACCAATGGAATGACCAATCAGAAGACAGCTTTCGAGGTTGCATGATGAGAAATCACATTCAGACTGTCACTTTCATGATCTGGTAAGCGACACTCTGATTGGTTGGATGAAAGGTCGTTCTGACGTGACCCCTAATGGGATGTCCTCAGATCTTTGTTTAGCGGTAGCGAGAACTAAGGTCGGATTTTAATGAGGTTGAGGGTCCTGAAGACCTATTCTACCCCTGATATGAGGTGGTGCATGCTTGCAGGCCGCTGCTTGTACTAGTCTAGACTTATGCCTCGTTTATGTACATAACTGAGTCTGCACAAGTCAATCCAGTGACTGACATCATGAGCATAGGTTAATGCAATTTGGATACAAAGACTTGCATCAACCAAATCAGCGATGCTGACCACCTGATCCCGTTACAACAAGCATGGGATGCTGAAGGCAACTCTAATCTGGTTCTTCACGGGGTAAAAAAAACTATGAAGTGTATGTATGTTGAAATGAACGTCATGTTTACCTTTCTGACAAGCCGTGTACGCTGCCTTGACGAGCCCTGTCACATCGGAGAGGGCGGCCATGATGTAGGAGAGAGGGGAGACAACTCCGGGCCCCCTCAATATGTGCTCCACGTCCTCTATGATATCCACAGTCATTTCTAAGCTCATCTTCCATTTGGAGGGATTCTAGATGTGAAAATTAAAATATGTATAGATAATGCTGAGTGTGTGTGTGTGAGAGTGTGTTTATGTGTAAGCTGAACAGCTTAGAAACTGTTACGATGGAAGAAGCTCGCACACATATTCTTTATGACCCCAACTTGCCAAAAAAGTATCCTTTGTAATCATTTCACCCACAAATAACTTTACATGACCATCTCCAAAATGTAGCGGTTATTTTGCGACCTATCCTTGTTGTAGGACAAGACTGCATGGATACTGTGGTCAGACTCCGTGACTTCAGTGTGTGTGTGTGTGTGTGTGTGTGTGTCTGTGTGTGTGTGTGTGTGTCTGTGTGTGTGTGTGTGTGTGTGTGTGTGTGTGTGTGTCTGTGTGTCTGTGTGTGTGTGTGTGTGTGTGTGTGTGTGTGTGTGTGTGTGTGTGTGTGTGTGTCATCACATTCAAATTGCGTGGATCGATGTTAACCACAGGTCTGCCTGGTCCAGAATCAATTATTTACAGGATGTCATTGTATTGGTGCTTCATTGGTGACTGTGGCATAAACAACAACCTGGTCGTTCCCTTTACTCTCTATGTTTTAGGATTGCCAACTGCTGTAGAAAACAACCTTCACTCACTCAAAATTACAGAAATAAATGCACATATATACAGTTCACAGAACTTAATTCTTGCTATTGCTAAACAAAGATCTGAGGACAATCCCATTACGGGTCACGTCAGAATGACCTTTCATCCAACCAATCAGAGCATCGCTTACCAGATCATGAAAGTGACAGACGGAATGTGTAACAGAGGGTATTCTGAACGACAGTTACAGGTTTTATGATCATATCCATACAATCTAGGCCATCTGTAAGCCATTCCAGAATGTTCTTTTTATCAGTTTCAAAATTTTTAATCGAGAATATGTCAAAAATGTTTCGAAGCCTAGTCACCAGTTTGAAACTAGTGTCGTAAAGCTCGAGAAAGCTGCTAATGTCGATTTCTTCTCAGTCATTTCATTGATCAGTCAAAGTTCGCGAAAGGTCGGTCCGATGTGACCCGTAATGGGATGTCCTCAGATCTTTGTTTAGCGGTAGCGAGAACTAAGATCTGATCTTAATAAGATTGAATGACAATCTGACTGTATGGCAGTACTTCCCACGAGCTGTGGAAAGTCTATTCCGTTTCAGATCTTTATCTCATTGAAGTCAGAGATAGATTCAGTTGTACAGCCTCATGAGGTAGCATGATCAGAAAACACATTCTGAATGTCTCTTTCCTGATCTGGTAAGCGATGCTCTGATTGGTCAAATGAAAGATTGTTCTGACATGACCTGTAATGATCAGGTGAAATGGGGTTTAACGTCACACTCAAGATTATTGCACTTATATAGCGATATGCATGCACATGTATGTGTGTGTGTGGCTGTTTGTACTAGTCCGAACTGATGCCGATCTTATAGTGCGAACCACTGAGATACCATGCCGCAGTTTAACATGAATACCCCACTCAGACAAAGTAAACTGATTCCGAGCCGACCAGTCCATGTTTTGTCCCCATAATGCCAAGCACCAAGCAGGGTAACAAGTACCATCTTTTGGTATCGAACACCCGACCTTCTGCTCACTGGGCGGAAGCTATACCACAAGACCTGTGGCAGTCTGACCTGTAATGGGATGTCCTCAGACCTTTGTTTAGTTTTAGCGAAAACTAAGATCTAATTTCAATGAGATCGGTACTTACTTGCTGTATAGAGTGAGTGCACATGTGCAGAGCCTCGCAGGTGCTTGTGCAGTTTGACCCCTGACCCAGCACTGCACTCACGCTCAGAAGATCCTGGCAAATACAACACATTCAACCATGACTTTGGAAAAAACAAACTCATTTCTGATTGCTCTTGAACAAATTTAGGTGGAATCTTATGAGATGATGTTTACAGATCCCAAACACTTCACTTGTAGTCAACAGTTTAAGAAACAAAGACAGCCATAAATACTAATCACTTACACTTACCTTAAGATACATCTGACGAACTGAACAAAATATAGAGCTCTACATAACTTTTTGAGCAATTGAGTTTTTACTCAACGGTTTTTATATTAATTGGGTTATTACATTTTTCATTTGGTAACCAACATTTTTTACTTTTCTATTCATCACTTTATTGGGTTTTTCCCAAAATGAGTATTCCTGTGACAGCCATATTGAAGAAATTCAGCTGTGTTGATTGGTGGGAAAGTTTCAGGTTCACTGGACAAATGGGATACAACCCTTATGACTTCCATATTTTTTAAACCAAGGCGGAAGAGGGAAAATCATCTTTATTTGAGTATGTGATTGCTCAGTTCTTTGAAACTTCCATCACTCTTTTTTCCCAATAGATGAGACCTCCCTCCCTTAAGAAGCAAACTGGGACAAACCTGTGCCGATTCCAGGGGAGATTCAAGATGGCTGCCGTTGTGGAGCCGGGTCACAAACGCATAGGAATAGATCACATTCACCAGACAGAAACGGAGGTCAGATGATGGCTTGCTTTTCTGGAAATATCAAGACACAGTTTATCATATTTGAGTCAAAACTGGATAAGATTTCATTTTCCTCTAAATCATGAAAACAATGTTTGTGTCACATTTTTTGTTTGTTTGTGTTAAATGTTTCGGTTTTATGTTGAACATTCTCGGGTTAATGGTCTGATACAGTGTGTCTGTGTGTTTTTTGTGTTTTTTGTGTGTCTACGTGTACTTATCTGGATTTACACTGGCTTCATAGTGCTAGCCTACTGAGATACCAACAGGTAACCATGCCGCACTATAACATGGATACCCCACTCAGATACAATATACCAACTCCGGGCCCACCAGTTTTTATGGTATCCTTTTCATGCCCAGCACCAGGCAGGGCAACAAATAGTACCATCTTTTAACGACTTTTCATATGATGCAGTCAGGGATTGCATCACCAACCTTCCTCCCTCCGGGCAGACGCTCTACCACTAGACCACGGAGGTGGTTTTAATGATGAGATTATCCGTAACCGTGATGACACATAAATGAATGTGTGGTTTCCACTTTGCAATGATTGCAGAAGTTGGAAGATTTTGTACATTGTTTCCTAACTTAACAAGTTAAACAATCATACAATAATTGAATCACACTGGTTCCCATGAAGATCTGGGTTAGAATAGGTCTTCGGCAACCCATTCTTGATGTAGGATGTAGGCTCGCTGATTTGGGTGATGCATGTCATTTGTATCCCAGTTGTTGAGATCGATGCTCATGATGGTCTGGTCCAGACTCAATTATTTACAGACCATCATCACATAGCTGGAATATTGCTGAGAGTGGTGTTGAACAAGCAACAAACAATTTTTCAACAATGTGGCCTGGAGATACAGGGCAAGGGAGGTAACTTCGGTCAGATTTATATGTCCACATATTCACTTTGAGTTCCAAATAATAGCTGTCCCACCAAGGAGTGAAATACAACATTGGCCCGTTCTAAGGGCGGTCATATTTGTTCTGCCAATCAGTAATACATATCTTCATATGAACAGATAAAGTGATATGATTCAGCTGTAAAGATTGATATTGTCATGATTTTTCTTTTCATTAAAACTTGTTTCTGGCCAGTCATGTTAAAACCTGGTTTCAATGATCAAGTATTTTATGTACTGATGGGCAGCATCAGTGTTATCAAACTGCTGGACTAGGAGACATCATTTGTTGTTTCAGTTTGAAATTATAGACCACAGAAACAGAGATGCATCATAAAGTTTTGATTCCATAAAATGTTTGACTGTCATCTTTGGACAAGGTCTGGTTGCCAGATTTTCAAGTTGCCAGTCCTGTGTTACAACCCTGCAGTTACAAAGACATTTTTTTCAAGAACGACAAGTACATCTTTTGCTATGAAAGGGCTGGGGATCGAACCACTGGCCTTTCGCTCTCCAGGCAGATGCACTGTCCACTTTCCAAGTCTCCCATGCAAGGAAAGAATGTAGGGCTGGGACGAGTCCAAATTTACTACCCGGGTACTCACCCCCATATTACCCGACCCTACCCGGGTAACCGCTGTAGGTCTCAAGAGGTAGGTACAAACTGTTCAATTGGGTATAGTTTGACCTTAGCTCTGGCAAAATGTGTTTAGATACACGTACAAAATGATCTGATGTATACACTGAAGTTGACTGAAGTTTAAGTTTTATTCAAACATAAAAAAAGTCAGAAGGAAGGGGTTTAGTAGTCAGAAATAACTGCGAAAATTAGTGACCTGTAGCTTAAACATAGAGTTCAAGATACGTTTTGTTATTAAACAATATATCATGTGACTAACCACTGGTCCGGGTAGTCCTGTAGGGTACCCAGGTCCCACTCAGTACCCACCCGACCTGAGTACCTGAGTTACCCGTCCCAGCCCTAAAAGAATGAAACGTATAACCCCAGAGTAAAACTTCATGAATGTTGCTGCTTACTTTGAGAAGGATGTTGATATCTGGGATCTCTTTGATTATCTGCGGCCGCCTCTTCCCAGCATGCTCCAGTTTATCAACTTCCTCTTCCGTTTCAATTGATGGCTGTGAACAGGAAGCAAAGTCAGTTGGCAGTTCAGTTTAAGGAAGCATTGCTTAGTATTTCAGTCATATCTTGTTAGTTTAACGTCCTGACAAACCTAGAAACATAATCAGGGCCATTCTGGGATTTAAACACACTGTCATGGGGACGCAACTATCGGCCATTCAAGGACAAAGGATAAGGTTTGATAAGGGCCATTATGACCGCCAACAGGATCTCCACAATACAAGAACTGAATGAAGAAATTGTTTCTTCATTTAAACATGACCTCATAATAAGCTGTGTAGTGAAACCTAATCAAGTTAATGAGTAGGGCTGCACCGATGTACTGCAATATGCTTTTCAAATGATACATATTGCAATATTTATACACAAGATATATAACAATTAATACACAATTGATTGACAAAAACAGCAGAAACGAGGAAGTGATTTTTCTTTCACAGCGGTGGCAACTGATCATAAGGACTTTGACATCGCAATATTTACCTTAGTATGTAGTACATAGGATTAGTGTTAAACTCTGTGAAACACTATCACAATACAGTCACCTACATCGCAATATTTACCTTAGTATGTAGTACATAGGATTAGTGTCAAACTCTGTGAAACACTATCACAATACAGTCACCTACATCGCAATATTTACCTTAGTATGTACCGTATTTTCTTGAGTATAGTGCGCACTTTTTTTCCAAAAAACACAGCTGTGTGGAAGGGGGTGCGCATTATACACGAATTATGAGTTTGGATGTTTTTTTCCCCCATGGAAAGACATTACCGTGAGCATGAAACACCGGGAATACCATGTCAACAAATCCATACTGAAGTACGCAAAATAATCATGTAATTACACTGTCTGGCTATAAAAAGTGTTCTTTGTATATCTGGACTTATGTTTGTAACTTATATCATTGATTTTATTCAAAATTCCTTATAATATTGTTTTTATTAATTTCGGCGAAATCGTGTGTGAAGCGATCGGAAGATCGCACAACTCACCGTTATTAACAGCAACCACGGTCAGAATACCGCTATTGACGCCTTGAAACAAACTTTAGTTGACAGAGAATCGATACATATATCATAAATGACATACTTTGACTCGTTAAAAGTCATATTTGTTTTTGTTTGACGATTCTATGTCAACATGAAATTCACGCGATCACGTGATCACGTGCGCGTGAGCCTTGACGGTGACTGGTCAGACATGTTCCATGTAAAAAATAATACCCGGGAATAGCGATCAGCTGCTTCGCTTAGGGTTATTATTATTTTAAATATGTTTAGTAAAGGTTGCATATAATTAAGAAAATAATGGAATATATTATTCCTGATAAATAAAATAGTTTCAGATACAATTGTCGCCGATCCTTGCATTAAAAATCTTATAAAGTTATATCATTGGGTGTGTCTTAACCGAATCACCGGTCGATTCCAAGAAAACGTGTGTACAGCTGATTGCTGTTTCCAGCTTAGTTTACGAGAAAATACGCAAGGTAATCTTAATCCCTAAATATAAAACAATGCCTAGCAGAACAATAAATACTATTTAAACGGTAAATAAACATGTCTGGTGATTTTTTATCTCAAATTTCGAATTTGTACTGACGAAGTTTCTCAGCTCCCGTTCGTTTGCGAACCCGCTAGAGGGGGGTGCGCATTATACATGGGTGCGCACTATACTCAAGAAAATACGGTAGTACATAGGATTAGTGTCAAACTCTGTGAAACACTATCACAATACAGTCACCTACATCGCAATATTTACCTTAGTATGTAGTACATAGGATTAGTGTCAAACTCTGTGAAACACTATCACAATACAGTCACCTACATCGCAATATTTACCTTAGTATGTAGTACATAGGATTAGTGTCAAACTCTGTGAAACACTATCACAATACAGTCACCTACATCGCAATATTTACCTTAGTATGTAGTACATAGGATTAGTGTCAAACTCTGTGAAACACTATCACAATACAGTCACCTACATCGCAATATTTACCTTAGTATGTAGTACATAGGATTAGTGTCAAACTCTGTGAAACACTATCACAATACAGTCACCTACATCGCAATATTTACCTTAGTATGTAGTACATAGGATTAGTGTCAAACTCTGTGAAACACTATCACAATAGTCACCTACATCGCAATATTTACCTTAGTATGTAGTACATAGGATTAGTGTCAAACTCTGTGAAACACTATCACAATACAGTCACCTACATCGCAATATTTACCTTAGTATGTAGTACATAGGATTAGTGTCAAACTCTGTGAAACACTATCACAATACAGTCACCTACATCGCAATATTTACCTTAGTATGTAGTACATAGGATTAGTGTCAAACTCTGTGAAACACTATCACAATAGTCACCTACATCGCAATATTTACCTTAGTATGTAGTACATAGGATTAGTGTCAAACTCTGTGAAACACTATCACAATACAGTCACCTACACTGCAATATGTTGTAATACAATGTATTAGAAAATACACAGCCCTATAAATGAGGAACACTCCTGAACAAATACTCAACCCTCTGTCCCCGTTCCACAGAGGGGTCTTAGTGCTACGTCTATCAAAACTCGCCTTAAGAAAACTTTGTTAGAATAAACCCCAGTACATCATGCAGGGTTAGAAACTGGCACTAGTCCTGTAGTCCTTGCCAATCTGCCCAATAGTTAAGGTATCATAAGGACTAGTAGATATTTGCCATTTTTAAGGGTTTTGCTATATGTTATCATTATAAGGACTAGTGGACCAAAAATGTTAGTTTCCACCGCTGTCATGCTTGTCATTAGATCCGACTAAAATGAGTATCGAGTGGAAGAATGTGTGATAGAATTTAATTGTCATTCCTTGCAATTTATTCAAATTATTATCCAACACATCTCCAAAAGGTTAAAATATAGTGTATATGGAATCAAAGATTTTGAGTGAGATGGGGCTACAAGCACAGGCATAACCTGCCTGCAGATCTTGTGGTGCAACGTTCACTACATTATCTGATGACTGACCTTGACCCACCATGGCGTCCACACCTCTACAAGGTTGGAGAGACGTCCGTCCTCCAGCATCTCGCTGAACTCCTGTTTCTCCCTCTCCGTCAGCCTCTGCCACACCTCGCCTGCATCAGCATCTGAATACAAGGAAATCTGATAAAAAAAAATAAATGTTTGGATCCTGTGATGGGAGTCAAATCACAGGACAAGGAAGTCATGGCCGCTAAATTGGCACTGAACGTGGGGTTGAGAAGGTTCATATCAAATTTGGGCAAATAAAGTCTAGGTACCCAACTATGCGGCCTAGGACGTGCCTTCTGTTGAAGGAAGGAGGGCATAGATCCATTGCACAGGTATCTGTCTGGACCAGATTGCTTAAAAACATCCAACTAAAGACAAAGCTGTATCATATATGTGGAATATACAAGGGTAATATATTCTTATACTGACCTAGGTCAAGCCCCTGCAATCTGGACTCCAAGTTTAGAGAATCAGCATCTGAAAAGTAACAGTAACTTTAACCAGGCCTGGTCAAACGTTTATCTTGGACATGGTCAGGATTTTAACCTGGCCATTGTAGGCCATAGGAAATTGGAGTGATTCTAATGCAGTTGAAATGATCGTAACTCCCATACTTTAACATAGGCTAACAATAGTCATAGCGCTGAGATTGCTTTGTGCAAGTGGGCCCAAGTCCTGTAGGTCACATGAACAGACATTGCTGTTTGACTCTATACACGTCTGTAGTCTAAGTGTTGACAGGGTTAGAAATTAAGAAAGGTCCTGAGTTACTTGAGGTTTATCGTCATAGAATTTGAATGTATGGACCACAAAAGTTGAACCATTAAAATCCGGTACGACAATTGCCCTCACCTTCCTCCTCGTCATCACTGGCCACATCGTCCCCGTCCCTTGCCTCCTGCTCCCTCTGTAGGATCTCCCGAATCTTCTCCCGATCTTCCGTGCTGCACAGACAAGATGAGGTACATACTGGTGCTGACAGATTTATGTGAACAATAGTCTTTGTATAATGCTTAAATATGAGTGAGTGAGTGAGTGAGTGAGTGAGTGAGTTAGGGAGTGAGTGCGTGAGCAAGTGAGTAGAATGAGCGAACAAGCATATCAGAGTGAGTGTGTGAGTGAGAGCATGCAAGTGCATCTTAATGAGGCAAGGGAGCTAACTGACTATAAAAGTCCAGTTTCCACCCTTGCCGAACTAGGCTGGAATTTCCAGGCTCGATCATAGCGCCACCAGTGGCTATTACGAGTTATGTCCTTTCCGTGTCCCTCCTATTGACCAATCTGGTTCCATCTATCGGATCACTTGTATTTACTTTAAACAAATTGACGGCGCCCAGTCAAGACAATCTGATTGACAATCAATATCTATATTGTCTTATTGTAATAAACAGGTCTTACCCTGCGAAGTGCATAAAATCACATGAGCACGTTAATTAAAAACATGAAAAGATTTGCAAAATATCTGTCGACGCAAGTTGGCGGTACATATGCTTTACAAATCCTGCAGTCGACCGAAATCTGCACTTTGAAATCCATGTTGATTACGAACCAGATGTCTAGTTTGTTAAGTGATTTTGATTGGACAATGCATTGACAAGCTAGTCCAGTATGTAACTCTGGAATTCCAGCCAAGTTCAACAAGGGTGGAAACTGGACTTTTATAGTCAGTTAACTCCCTTGCCATGGGAAGATGGTGCAAGTGGTGTTACGGGGGAGGGGGTGTTTTCTTGGGGCAGTTTCAGACACTAAGACTAGACTATAGACTTACTCAGCACTGCTGTGTGACAGTTCGTCAATGACCCAGTCCTTGTAGAAGGCCTCGGAGCAACTACCATGCTTCTGATGTTGGTAGCAGGCCAGGGAACAGTAGGGGATGTTGCAGCGAGGACAGGTGTACCGAGCCTCCTGACCAACACAGCTGGAAAAACAAGTCATGGCTGAAATATAACAATCCCTTGATTTGTCATAATCCTCATACTTAAACAAGTCCACCAAATATCTCAACATGCTTGACTGCTTAATGGAATATTTAAAGTATAGATATCACTTCAACACTTTTACTACATTGTTCAAAACTAAGCATCTTTTTTTTAACCACAATATTAAAAGTTAAAGATTACCAAATGATTTAGGAGACCTCAACTGAACATGACCCAGAGGGATCAAAATATTCTAAAGCCTACAAAAACTTAATTACACTAAATCAATTATTACTCTCCATATACATGTATCATGCATCTCCTTCATAACTCCAAGGGGCAGTGGGTAGCCTTGTAGTTAAGCGCTTGCTTGTCATGCCTAATTAGTTCCCTACATGGGTACAATGTGTGAGGCCCATTTCGGGTGTCTCCTGTGTGATGTTGCAGAAATATTGTTCAAATCAGCTTAAAACCATACTCACTAATTACTGTGACAACTGTGATGCCAAACAAGCAGGATTCCAAACTAAGTACCCTTAGCAGGCAATTTGGAAAAAAACCCCTGCTCTTTTGCTCAAATTGGTCAAGTCACTTCTTCTGCTACAACATGTAGAATAAAGTCTTGTTTGTCCTAGTTAGAACACATTTACAATCCTTACATAAGTTGCGAGTTTCGGTTGAGGTAACATATCGCAATTCTTTTACAAATTTAGTGAATTTTCCCTTAGGAAATGAATATGATCCTAAAAAAATCCACATTTTGTAGTGGCTGACTGACTCATTGAATAACCGATCTACCAAACGTTCTTGTTATTCACTGATATTTTGTAAAGTTTTGTTTCATAGAGAACAGCATGTGCCCTAATGTACGAAATCAAAGACATACACCTATGTACGTCTTTTGCTAAACAGTTCTGGAGGTACATAAACATGTGTATAAGGTGAGGTGAAATGGGGTTTAATGTCGCGTCCAAGATTATTGCACTTATATAGCGACGTGCATGTACGTGTGTGTGTTTGTGTGGCTGCTTGTACTAGTCTGGACGGATGACGATTTATAGCGCTAGCTCACTGAGATACAATGCCGCAGTTTAACATGAATATCCCACTCAGACACAGTATACTGACTCCGAGCCGACCAGTCCTTGTTTTAGCCCCATTAATGCTGAGCGCCAGACAGGGTAACAACAAGTACCATCTTTTAACGTCTTTTGGTATGACGCGGCCGGGGATTGAACCCCGGGCCTTCCGCTTTCGGGCAGATGCTCTACCACTAGACCACGGAGGCGGTCACATGTGTATAAAAAAACTTCTGTTGGGTACTGATATAGCCTATCTGTGCTGACAACAAGCAGATCAGCATGATTAGTGAAAATGAGGCTGGTCCTGGGGACCTTGAGAAGTTTCAGCTTTAGCAGGAGACAGTGACCAAGCAGGGCCTCCGAAATGACCCTTGAACCAGCATGAATACAAACATGAGTAGCCACAATGCGTGTTCATGCCAAATCATGGGACATTTCGCACTCTTGCTTGGAAGATGTTCTTGTTGGGCTTGCATGGTTATAGAGATATGGAGCAATGCCGCCCTCACCAATAATCCAGCTATATGACATCTGCATGCCTGATGTGTTGCAGTTGGTTGGTCGGTTTGTTGTTTTACGCCGCACGCAGCAATATTCCAGCTATATGATGGCAGTCTTTAAATAATCGAGTCTGGACCAGACAATCCAGTGATTGATATCATGAGCATCGATCCATGAAATTGGGATATGATGACATGCATCAACCAAGTCTGCAAGCCTGACCACCCGATCCCCTTAGTCACTTCTTACGACAAGCATAGTCGCCTTTGACAGCAACCATGGGTTGCTAAAGACCTATTCTACACGGGATCTTCACGGGTCTGTTGTGTTGGGAAATCCAGTATCATATATAGATATTTGAATCGTGAGACCCATTTAATCTTTTATGGTTATGACAAGTATCTCCTTACTTTTGTGATTAATTTAAAACCACTGTCAAACTATTTCAGTATCTGTTTATTGCCAGATACACACCTAACCCAACGTTGCTTCAACGTTTTCAAATCAAGACGCGCGAAGCACAAGAGCCCGCACGAATCAAACATTCAAACCTGGTTTGAAGTTGGTAAAAGTAGGCTTGATGACCAAATTAACGATACATGGAATCGATAACGTACATTGAACAAGTTCTTGCATCAGTGCCATCGAGTTTTGACGCATGATGTTTTTGTTCACAACTGGAGGCAGACATCTTGAAGCTTCGCACTGAATTCATTGATCGTCTGCTGCCAAGAGCTGCACGGATTTACGGTCATTGTTTTGAGCATTTCTCGGTAAGAATTTCTTGATTCTGTTTGTAATTAAGGCAAGCAGTTCGCAAACAGGTGTTTAAAATTGTGATCACATTATTTATTTTTTCAGAATGCAAAACGTTTGAAAAATCGACAAAAACAAAATTCTTAATAAATTATAAAAAATAGATTGTCAACCTCCTAGATAAATTATTTGGCTGCTTTCTTGTCATTTCTTACATGACTATATATGTAATGGTGGCTATTATGTTCATTTGAAGGTTCTCAGACATCATATTCATAACTTATCGACTAATAATTATATCAACAAGTAGTTGCTTCGGGTCTGCCATACGCCGGAAGAAGATATCGTCCTTCACCTCGTTGCCAAGATACGAGGCTGTGTACCCAAAGCGTGGTAACTTTTCAAACTAAGTTTTTTCCTGCTGGGTCATAGTTATAACTGTTTTATCTGAGATTCATCATAAATTTCAGCACAACTATACGATACTCACCATCAGAAATGGCCGTTCCGTTTTCTAACACCAAACTTAGAGTGCCAAAAGGCTTCCAAAATATTTTGGAAGGCCTTGCACGAGAGGTGCTTCGAGCCCAGCCAAAAGATGTGTTCCAATTTGGATGCAAGTACTTTGAAAGCATGGTCAACGTGAGAGAAGGTAAGATATTTTGTGTTATATTTTACAAATACGGGGTGTTACCATACACCATCACGACATACAATAGCCAAATACGCTAAAACACCGAGGCAGTGATTATGCCTATTGTCTCGTACTGTCAGTAAAAAAACCAGGTGATTTATGGGGTTATGTCATAGCTAAATCAGCTCTAGATCAATTTTGGATTTATGTTTAGAAGGTTAAGATGAATGAAAGTAAATAGAAGCTTGTTGACACAGATTTATTCTTACAATACAATGTTTGTTTATCAACATGATCAGACACGATACCAGGTAACATGATGTTTTGTCATGGTTGTTTGGGCATGTGGTCATTTTGACTGAGTCCCCATATATCCTCATGTTATGGGTTTTTGAGCCCCTAAAAAGTATTTATCATTACGTGTCTTACACCAATCCCAATACACTAAAATTAAGTCTTACCTTTGGGAACATTTATTTCTGTTAATACTTGGATGGTCAAATGACCATGTCTTGTTAATTTATAGCAATAATGCCTTGCCGAGTGAGACGAGTCTATCAAGTGCTGTCTTGTTACCATCCCATGATTTTAAGCCTCGTCAAGTTAAAAATAGATGCACAACATGGTTCAGTCACATGATATTACAGACAGGATGTTTACAAACATCAGCTGATAAATAATCTGAACTTACAATTGTTTCCATGTAAAATTATCATCAGATTAAGTTTGATGGAAATGTGAATTAGTCCAAAAGTTTTGAGGTATATTTTCATTACTTTTTTTAATATCTTTCCTCGTGTAGCTTAATTTGCAACATAACTTCAGCGGCATGTGGCGAACACATTGATATCTTCAGTGGGCGTTAAAGCATCGACCTTGATTATGTGGAGCACCTTTAGAATACAGTGCCACATCTTCTCGTGAGGACAGTCTCTGTCGTAGGTCACATGTCTCAAAGACGTCATGGAACTGAATGATAACTGAACGTGACTTTAGTCTACAGACACTTACGAATTATCCCGATGCCATTTAGCACACTCGTTCCATTCCGTAATCTACAAGATATCGAGTGGCGAGGAATGATACGATATGGTGCAAACTGAAAACGGCTCCAGGCGTCAGACGTCGAACTCATGAGTACACATGAATGACATGGTATTTAATCATTCATCGGGTGGATTTTGTGACAGACACTGGCAGTTGGTGGCCCTGTGAAGTTTGTTAACCATCTTTAAAGGAGGTTAACTTTTTTTTCAAAAATATTTTTATTTCAATTCAGAAGACATATATCTGTAACATACGTACATGAGGTATATAAGTGTCGCACTTTCTAGGATCTTAAAACATGATCTTGATATGGGTAATATACATATATTGGATTGACAGATATTATAAAAAGTAGGCGAATAATTCTTTCCATTTTCTGTCAAATTCATTAACACTATTATTTTTATTGCAATGAATTTTCTATTTTACATACATCTTTCAATATTTTTATGAAGAAAGGAAAGTGTAATGGAGTTAATGCTTGACTTGCGAATGTATTTTTTGGCAAGAAGAATTATATGGTTGAAAAAAGGTGAGGTGAGGTGAAATGGGGTTTAACATCGCGTCCAAGATTATTGCACTTATAGGGGCGGTCGGGTAGCCTAGTGGTAAAAGCGTTCGCTCGTCACGCTGAAGACTCGGGTTCGATTCCCGACATGGGTACAATGTGTGAAGCCCATTTCTGGTGTCCCCCGCCGTGATATTGCTGGAATATTGCTAAAAGCGGCGTAAAACCAAACTCACTCACTCACTCACTATTGCACTTATATAGCGACGTGTATGTACGTGTGTTTGTGTGGTTGCTTGTACCAGTCCGGACTGTTGCCGATTTATAGTGCTAGCTCACTGAGATACCATGCCGCAGTTTAACATGAATACCCCACTCAGACACAATATACTGACTCAGAGCCGAACAGTCCTTGTTTTAGCCCCTTAATGCCGAGCGCCAGACAGGGTAACAACAAGTACCATCTTTTAACTCTTTTGGTATGATGCGGTGGGGGACTGAACCCCAGACCTTCCGCTCTCCGGGCGGTGGTTGAAAAGATAGTTTATGTAGACTGGTAATATGAATGTCATATGTAAGTTTCGAGTTTAGGTACACTTCCATTTCTTGCCAAAGTTCCTTTACAAAAACCCAATCTACATATGCATGGTATAAGTGTAGTAGCGGGCAAGGCTCCGGTTAGGGCAGTAAACACAGAACAGGCTACTTGTGTGTGAGTTGACAGCTGACTTTATTTGCAAATACGCTACTTGTTTCTGAACTCTGCAAATATGTATAAAAATACAATGAAAATATCTAATAGATGAAATAAAACAAACATATCATACAGTATGAACACGCCAATGCATAAACAGCTCATTCAATTTAATATGCTATGCATACTATAAACATTATTTATACTTGATATTTTACATTAATGTATCAAACATGCTGAGCAGTAGTTACACTTACCCTTGTGGTTTTAAGCCAAATTACATCTAAAAATACTTAAGACGGTTACATAAATACCGCCTCTACAAATTGCCATGATATAAACATAATATAAACACAATATACACTAAATATACACATAACTTACCGCTGTGTGGCAATGAGTTGGCAACTATGTTAGCTTTGGCAGATCACAGGCATCGTAACATCGATTGCCATATTCTAGAAAAATTGAAACAATAAGACCGCATAAGAAAAAAAGGAAATGGCCAATAAAATTAAGAACATGTAGTTAGATGGTATTTAAGTGATGATTAATAGTTAAATTTGATTATAGATTTAGTTTAGATTGAACTAAAGCGTTTAACAAATTAAGAGGGAAGGTATAGAATATCTGAAGATATTGAGATAACATGTAGACTTATTATGAAGTACTAGTTTATTATGTTTATGTTTTAAACTATTTTCAGTTTGATATATATGATACAACAAATAAGGGAACCCTCTTGTCGGTGTATCCCACTCAGTCAACACATTGATCAGTGTGCAGGGAATGAAACACCAAATTTTGTGATATTCCCTTTTTACAAATGTGACAATGATGCATTGAGAAAGATAAAAGAAAGTTATTTTATCAATACTTTCAAACCAAAATTAAATGGCCTGAAATAATTGAATTATTTTATACAATTACAATGTATTGTACATTTTACTGCCACTACAATACTTATTTCTGTATGTGTCGTACACCTGCCCTATCGTCTTAGGCCTGTCTTATTGGGACTTCACAAAGTTAGATTGCACTATGACGTCATACTATGTTAGAGTGCACTGTGACGTCAAAACAGCGTAATGGTATAACTGTATAACTGTACTCTTGAAAATCTCATGCGTCACTGTGAAACCGGTTGAGTAAATTATACAGCTCATCTTTGGACTTTTGTATTTTATCTATATTTTATATGTATGTACCCCGGTATGTATGTATGTATGTATGTATGTATGTATGTATGTATGTATGTATGTATGTATGTATGTATGTATGTATGTATGTATGTATGTATGTATGTATGTACATGTATATATATATATATTATATATATAAAATATATATAATTACCAATCAATGCATTACCTTAATGCATCTAATTCATAAAACTAAATTCACAGACATATCTACAAGATACATAAATATGAACCAAACACAAACTAACCTTATAGAGATCCTGAACACAACAAATATATCATCCACTGATTTGAATGCAATCCACAGAACCACTGATTTCCTTCAAGTGTAAGTGACCAACTAATTTAGCAAAGTCAGCTAAACACAGAAGAAACCTTTTACTTACATAATACAGAAGCTGGGAAGGAAAACAAAGCAAGACGCTTGTGCTGTTGGTGACTATATAGGTGAAAGTAGCTATTGTCATGTTAGTAGTTATGTAAGTGCTGGAGCTAGTCTAATTGTTGTTGTTTTTATACTGCTCAAGTAATCTGTTGAGACAGAAACAGGCTAAAACAGAAACAAGACCATTAAAAGACTTTACTAAAATATTTACAAAATAGCAATAAAATCAACTCGGCCACATAATTTTTCAGATTCAATGCAAAAAGAGCACATATCATCATCAAATAACATCATTTTCATTTATCATAAAATATTCTGGAGCCCTTTGTTCTTATCAACAAGTCTCTCAAAATGTTATTTATGTATAAATTAGCCGTGATACAAAATCTGCCATTTATTACTTTTTCCATGACTTTTGGATATTTAGCATTACTCTGTTGTAATCAAGTAAAGTACCTTTAATTTGAAATTTGTCAATGGGGGTTACTTCAAAAGCAACTTGTGTT